GTTAAAGTTGACACACTCCATGTAGCACATAGATAGAGAAAAGAGATTCAAAAGAACTCTAATGAAGAAGCATTTACAGGAGAAAGAATAGTATCCTTGCAGAAACACGAAGATTTAGTGGGTGTTAGATATTACAAAGAGTGAAGCATCTACGCCATTGAGAATGGTTTCTCATCATACCACCGAATGTCAAGCCACCGGTTCTTAGAATCTTGACGACGTCAACATGGTAGAATACAGCTTCCTAAACAGCTAAAACCAACAGTCAGACTTTGTGATTTGATTTGATCCCCCTAAGATTTCTCCAACCTTATCTTATATTAGCTAACATCGTGTCGCTTAACACTGCGAAGCTGTTATCACATACTTATGATGGTATCCCATTAAGTTTGATTGTGTATCATTGTGACATTGGTGTCAGAAGAAAATTTCAGGTTGGTGATCAAGAAACTACTCGAGTTTGTAGTCATTTTCTATTTGTTTTCGACAACGTACAGTAAACACACATTATGCCGACTGTATATCATTTCCATACACCTTAAACTTAACAATTATTTGTTGTCACTATGTCAGCGTTGTTTTTATGCACTTAGTTGATGGAAGCTAGCAAAATTTGTCAACTCACTGAACACCGTCAGATTCGTTGCTTGCCTCACATAGTATATGTAACTGATTTACGTGGTTTGTATAAACTCTCAATATGTCTAGTGAACCTGAAAATGATGAAATAATGGAGGTAAATTGCCAGTAAACTTAGTAGTGAAGTATGGCACAGAATTTCATGAAAGCACTTTATCTACCGACCACATCAGCTTACAAAACTCCTTTTTGCTATCAATTCTATAATGCCCTGTAGTATAATTCCGTCCAGGTTTTGAGCTAGTAGATTTTCAACCATAGTCTGTTATACCTGGTCGCTCAAACCGTAGTAGGCGGAGCCACAGCTGTTAGTTCAATGTTATGCTTAAGTCAATGAGACTTTTCTCCACATAAAAACCAAAAGTTGATACCATTGCATCTCGTTTGTCTTATTTGACAACTTATGTAAAAATTGTTGATTATTCTCTATTTCTGTTAAAGCATTGATGTTTTGTTCCTCTGACAATCAGCCAAGATTAGCAAGTTTTCCATCTCTCCTCGCTATTACAAGCACTTCCGTTGACGAAAATGGATAGATTGGAGGATTACTATGAAACAAACATCACTAGGGAATGTTAAGTCAACACTTTATGCTTATTTCGACTTTGTATATTAAGGGAACAATCTCTATTGTATCCCTAGTAGCCTTAATATAAACAGTAGTTTACAATATGCATCGTATCCGTTATTATTTAATACTGGAGGTGAATAAAAGCAGTTATAATAAGCTACAAGACGCGAGAGTAATTCTCTTTAAAATCTATTCATTGAAAATGTGTTTTTATTATTGACTCCTGAACAGTATTATCTGATTTTTTTCAGTAACCTGGACATGTACACAGAAACTGTATCCTTTAGTATGTGTTGAAGTAGTTGAAATTCTGAGCTACACGGTTTAATTTACTTAGTTTTAGAAAAGATGTTATATGAGTGGCAAGTTACTTCACCTTGTCATTTGTATTTTTTGTTATTGTTTCGAAAGTATGCATCTTACATCACACAAATCAAATAAAAAGTTCTATCAAATCGTATGTAATTACATATGAAATAATAGTTGATTTTATTTCATTACGACCAAATATCCTGAAAAAACTATCTCCTTAACTCACTACTATCGTTTGCAAATTTAAACAACAGTATAGTATCAGTTTCTACCTACATTATTTGGCAAAATGGCCAGAGTATATGCGTGTATTAGAATCACCTACACTAACTTGTTTTGAAGGAAGTCATCATAAGGTTTCAAATGTTTTACAATCGGATAACAAACAGGAGTCAAGTGAAGCACATGTTCCTTCCACCAAGGAGTCGTTGATACCATCCTCTTGTCAACGACTAATGGGCTACATGATGGCAAAATCAGAAGGTCAGGGAACCGATTGGCATGGTCATGTTACAGCATTATCAGTGGCACCCGAGTATCGGCGTCTAGGATTAGCCACTCAATTAATGCTGGAATTAGAAGAAACTTCTGAACGGTAAGATCTGATAAAAAACTAAAGTCTTTTTAATTTTTTCGAGTCACGTAAATGTTCGTGATATCATTCTGCCCGAGTACTTTCAAGACTTAAACTCTACCAATTTGTCATTTCGCAACAGTTATACCGTATCCGCTACAGATTCGGAAATACAGCTCTATAGCTATTCGATCAATCTTCTTGATACACACTGTAAAATAGCAATGAATAGTAGTGTGCATTAAAGCCAAAAACGTGTGCATGCACACGAAGGCAACTGTTCTAAAATACTTTCAGTTTCCGTTTATTCACAGTTCAAATGGCTCCCAGCTACGTGAATATCAAACTGTTTAGACTACCATTCGATAAAACATTAGGCTAAAATTAGAGAAATCCGGCAAAATATTATATACCTTAAAAACAGCGGCAGCTGAAAATACAATATGCCACGTAGTTTGGGGATCACCTTATCAGTAAGGTCTGTCTTATGGAAACTAACAAGCTGAAATCCGAAAGTTTACTTCTTTGTAGACATGTTGGTAAATACAGCAGCATGTTTTGGAATATTAGTATTTCACTTTTCAAACAATATTCGTTGAGCGGTGATTCTGAGGAAAGCACAGTTGCCCAAAACAGATTTTTCATGGACCCAGACACAACCCACACTTATTATGTTGGTCGTGACTACTCTACTCAACTCCGCAGTCGGGGCTCAAACCCAGAGCACGCACTAATACAGGAAACTATTCAGGTTGAAGAATGGCAGAAATAACTAAAGTTTAAACACCACTTCTGTCACAGTACATTTCCGCAATATATTTTACTAGATCAGTCAAAATTTGTATGGCATTAAAATACAACTGTAACGACAGAAGACAAGGGCCAGGCAACAGACCATTTATTGAGAAAATCAAGAGGTATTTAAAGATTTTTATGTACATTATAGCTAGCGGAGAAGCAACTTCTTCCACTTGGTTGTTTTCTTGCTGAAAATTATTGCGCTACCACTTTGTGGCCGTTTCTCAGAAAATCAAGCCATATATCTGCAAATCATATTTCCACACGTTAGCTCCGCTGTGATTTTCTCAAGGTTAAGCTTTGTTATTGTTTTTCTCATGACGCGATTTGGGACGTAACATTGACTTAAGTTGCTGTCTACAATTTTTGGCTTGCAGCTAGCTCTCACGACACCACTGCTAATGGTTTAACATTTTATATAATAGGTGAACCATAGTTTTTCCTTTAGCGTTTCACACACCCTTTTTAAAATTCTATTCACCTTTGTTCATTTTCTTCCAATAGGAAACGTTGTTATTACGTCGATTTATTCGTGCGGGCTTCTAATAGTTTGGGAATAAATATTTACTCCAAATTGAACTATATTATATATCGCAGAGTCTTGAATTACTACTGGGGTTCCGTAGAAGATGAGGATGCTTTTGGTAAGTACATGGTTGCACTTTAAATATTAGAGATGGTACAGTCTATATATAATTTAGTAAAGAAGTAAGTAGCTCAACATAATGGCCAGTTCATCTTAATATTAATGCTAGTGTATGTGTGACTCATTGGTTTAGTAGTCATGCAATGGACTCTTAGTTCAGATCCCGTTAAACCTCGGTTTACGAAGCAGGGCTTAGAAAATAGAACTATATTTTATTACTATTAAATCGTTGATCATTCGAAATGCATGCTTAAGAAGCACTACTAATGTCCATCTCGGACTGTGATTAGGCATAGGTCTTCTCACATATCAGCGGTATCTTCCAAATTCCTTAGAAACATCCCTACGTCCCTCTCTTCGAATAAATGCGTCTTCGTCGCTTTTATCTATGAAGTAGGCAGCAACACCAATTGTAAAGACAAAACACAATGGTGTTTGGCAACAGATTATTTATTTAACAAAATGCAAAAAATCTTACATTGAAATTTCAATTAGTTTTCTGCTTTAGTTGTCTTAATACCATACGTTTTGCATATTTTCACAATGATCTTCATTTCTCCTCTTTGGAACTTAGTCTGTTACTCCATCACTCTATATTCTTGCAGGAGGTATCAGCATAATCTACTTGCAAACTTTTGTCAATGTTAGTCTAAATTAAGATGCAGAGACCTGTTGACCTTCAAGAATATATAATTGCTGCTTCCTAACTGCCTTAATTGTTGTTTGTGCAGCAGATTAAGTACTACAACGGTAGTCTTTACCTTGTCATATCGCTGCCGCGTTAACATGAACACCCAGCAGTCACGTCCGTAGTTGAAGACTTCATGTTCTTAACTTGATCCCAAACTATGCGAGCTGCAACCGCTATATAAGCTTTGGCTTGGAAAAAATCAGTTGAATCATATCACGAATATTTTCCAAACGAAGCAGATTACAGTAAAACCTATTTTATACATTGTCCGAACTAAAATTAGTGTTCGAGTGGTTACTGCAAATATACATGTATCATTTCCCTTCACGTTTACACTACACATATATGACTTGTTAGAAAGTCATTTGTAAAACACTGTTGTTATGCTACGTGAAATACACCCTCTGTAACACGTCTTATTCCTAATTTTTTAGATATGAGGAAAGCTCTTTCAGCTGATGTGCATAAAAAGTCCATCATACCAATGACAAGACCAGTACGCCCAGAAGAATTAGAACATCCATGAGTGGAAACCTGCTTGTCGACCACAAAGTACAGTCTACTGTTTGTGCTGAATGTGATGTTTTACTACCCGGGGATTTTCATATTTGTACCAGTCTGATATTATTAGAAAAACAACAAATATAAACCAAAATACACTTTTTTTAAAATCAAATCCTTTTGTTTAAAAAGAATATCAATATATTTAGAAAAAATGTCTTGAGGATCAGCCCAAATAACCTTACACGGAAGAAGTTTTCGTCTCTCTTCACATTGGTCTCACCGATTTTGTTCTACTAGAGGTATAAGTAAGAAGTACACAACAAAAATTAAATATTAGTTACCGGTATACAGTGTGTTGATCAATGTCAAGACAAACAAGCATACTGACACAAAACTCATTGCTACAATTGTACATTTTTTATGAAGACTCAATTATACTAGATAGGGGCACAGTGGTTAGGACTCTCGCCGGCCATGCACATGGTCCAAGGTTCGATCCCCTGCCGACGCACAGCTCATATCTATGGTCTGCCTGCAAAATTTAAGCTACCGATATCCATGCTGAAAATTCCATACTTGTATCAAAAATACAATGTGAAATCAAGCTGGATTCAAAAATAAATAGATAATTCCAGCATGCATAACATTTTGTTCGATAAAATCACAGTGTTATACAGTAATATTTAGTGATGATGTTTTGAGCACAATTTATTGATGCTCATAATTACATCAAGGTATGTCTCACACAACTTCTTTATTGTTTCATTTGTATACATGAGTAAAAATTGATTAGACATATGAATAAAATCAATATAAGATAAAGTACATTTTGGGTATAATATTAGTGTTATCAATAAAATACAATAAGATGTTTTTATAGTAAGATAAATAACTTGTTAGAATGTTATAATGTGAATTTAATAGATCTTAACATTTATTATTTTTCGATTTGACTGGTAACAATATCTTTTATATCTGTCGTATTTGCGTTGAATCAGCTTTGTTTCATGTGTTGGGTGTGTGGACTCGATGAACCACGATTCAGTAGTCAATCTCTCTACCTACCTACCTATATTACGCTTTAGAATTTTGACTCTGTCCCACCCTATTGTGTGGTTCTGTGTTAATGCATGCGGTGCGATTGCTGAGTTTTTTTCTAAACTGCTTATTTTCGTGAAGTCAATCATTCTAACCTTAGCTAAATTCTTATGTTCCAGCATTCCGACTACCCCCGACCTACTAGTTTGACCTATGTACTTGACCTCACTCACAGTCATTGTAAGGTATTTTGTAAATTATATTATTTTGTCTAATTGGGTCTACCAGGTCGTTTAGCCTACAGAGCTTGTTTCTGGGTGAGTTTGTAGGTTTGAATGCCGCATTAATATACCGATCAATATCGCCGTCGAAGCAAGTCTTGTATTGATTTTATGCGGCATTATGTCTAGTCAATTTTTACTCATGTATGTAAACGAAGCAACAAAGTTATGTGAGTACCTTGATATTGACTGTCAGCAATAAATTATGCTCGAAACGTCATCAGTAAATATTACTGCATAACACTGTGATTTTATCAAAATAGAATTTTATCCATAATGGAACTATACCACAGTGCATAAATTTTATTCCTATATCAATAATAGACGGGGAAGGGGAGTTAAATATTAGCTGTAGTCACTCTGTGCCAGCTTCCGCTGTACATTCTAGACGCCTTAATACACAGCTTAATGTAAGCATACAAGTTTTACATGGTAATTAAGTACTTCTTTTATAAGTCAAAAAATGCTTGTCGACAATCCTTTTAACATTAATCGACACGTCCATAAACGGCTAGAATTATATTCTCTATCCCATATTTTCATTCGATGTGCTGCGAATGGGATATACAGCTTTAGGTTTAAGGCTTTGAAGTTTCAGTAATGGTGGTATTGTTTTATTTATGGGATAGGGTTCCTAGTTTCACAACCAACCTTCGCTCTTTTCCGGGCTTGCTTCCGGTTAGATGAGGCTTGGGAATGCGTCGGACGGGGATCGAACCCCGGGCCACGTCCGTGTGTACATTGTATAGAAATATCCGTTGGTCTCTCTAAAGGTTTGGTAATTGCCATAAATGAACTTAAAATTAACCAAATCTGCACACTTCGATACAAACAATAATCGATAGAGAACCTAGGCATTACGTAAACGTTTCATTCAATGTATGCTTTGGGAATACTGCTTTGTTGCTTCAACTCCGACGAGGCTGCAACGTATTTAACTTACTCCTGGTCTTCATTATTGGATCGAGTCAGGAATTTTAATTTAGTGTGATACTTTTGATCAGATGTATAGAACATGGTTGCTGAGTGATATAACTGCAGTTTTTCTGAGAAATAAGTAATCAAACAGTTAACCTCATATAATTTGGAGCTTCTAAGCTTTATCTGTGAAAGTGGATTTCAACTAACTCTGATTTCCGATCTACCTACCTATCTGTGAGTGGCGGTGTAACACTAAAATATTCCAACAGCTAATGACTTATTAGAACTTCACTGAAACTATATAACTGAAGTCAATAACCCGAGGATGAAATTTTATATTTATGTAGACTTAATATATGACAGAAGATCTGCACAATATAACATTATCGCCGTTTAAAGTACACAATTTGCTTACCGTAAATGATTCTGCACAGCGGTATATTCGAACTTCATTATATTATTTATGTTTGTAAAGTCTTGCAACATCAGAAACTGACCAATCCGGCTAAAAAGAAACAATAATGTCAGCTTGAATAACACTTATTATTCCGAAAACAGAGCACTTTACCATAACTAAGTCATTAAACAGCATAAGAGATAAGTCGTCTCCGCGTCATAAGAGCGAAACTTAACTGCTTGAAATGTTACTGGCGATCTAAACTATCACGTGCTGATCTTAAAAGTTTACTACTAAGTGATTTAACTTTTAATGAGATGGGTTACCTAATGGTATTATTAAACCTGATGAAGTACCATGTATTGGTCCAACGAGTTTTCCTTACGGCTTATTAAAGAGAATGCAGCACTCTTATTCCGCAGGAATTAGACATTTTCACAATGGGAAATCCAGCGGAGCATTTTCGAAGAGTGGGGAATCGAAAACCAAAGAGACTGAAATAATGGCAGTAACAATCTACGGCGACAAGTGTGTCAGTGTGGTTCTATGAACTGCCGCAAATATATTTTAGTGTGGTGTAGCTGATATATGTATGCAAGACGAAGTACGACAGTGCATTTCATTGACCTTAGGTGGAATATAATGAATAATTGGATTGTGATTCAGTCTGAACAACTGCAAAAAGCTAGTATTTGGAATGCATTTCAATGTCGAAGGAGGGTTTAGGTTGGTGATACTTTTCCTGTATTTAGTGATGTACATCAAGGTACCATAAGGAAGATTCCTGTTTTCTCATGTGCTTGTTAGATTGTAGATTGGCAAATTGTACCATAATACAGGTGTGTAAATTCTTGCGTTAGTTCGTCCGTTAAAATCTCATACCGACGAAAAAACAAGTTGAAGTCAGGAAAGAAACCTGAAGTGGGCAATACTTTGATTACACAGCTTCCACCCTATAAAATAGAATGGAGTTAGAACACTACACTCAGTGTATTTCTCTAAGCATTTTTGTGCGAAAACTTAAAGATACTCTTAAAATTTCTGTGGGGTTATGCGTTTGTATGTCCGCTGTAGCGAAATGATTGTGTACACCTAAGTGAGCAAAATATTTCTTGTCTTGCTAAGATTTTATGATTAGGTACTTAGATCGGAGTAGTAAACAGTGGTCAGTCAGAAAAAAAATTAGCAAGGAATAGAATGATAGGCTCTAGTAAGATACGTAACCTAAGAGTTCGAAAGCATCACCTTTCATTCAATGAACCGTCCAAAGCTTTTCATAATCTTTGCCTACGATCATAACTTTTTCTATGCAGAGAAAAGTGCATGGTTGGCTTAGATAACTGGAATCATAGTTAAAGACAGAATTCATGTAACAGGTAGTACATTTTTTGTTACAGACAAATAGTCAACGTCGTTAAGGTTATTCACGCTTCCATTTCATCGCAAATAATAACGTGAAGGAGTACAGATATGCTGCTAATTCTCGTTAAACTGTATGAAATCACTAAATCTTTAATAGTATGTAAGACTGTCAACCCAAGCAGTATCGTTATAAATAGTCTTGAATCCACATTTAACTGGTCACGTGACTCCAGATACACTATACAGTAACCACTTCATATAGTCTTAATCAACGAATATAGTCGCATACACAAAATCTGCAGGTAACTGAAAGTAATATAAGTAGGTAAATTCGGCAAAACACCCATATTTCCCCCAAGGCTGTTTAGGGTCCCCCAGAATTCCCCAGGAATCATTCCTAGTTCGTTTGAACACCTATAAAGGAAAATTGAATATTTAAAGTACATGGATTCATTAATAACCTTTTAACCTCGCCTAGTTTACCATCCCGCTAGCTTTCTAGCCAGTTCCAAGCCCATGTGAAGGAGGATCAGATGTGGGGTTAGCGACCCTACCCCGGAAAACCAACCAAACTGCTACAGAAACTTCAACACACAAATGTTAAAAAATACAAAGAACATAAAAACAGACTTATTGGTTAAAATCGGAAAGGCGAAATGACGCCGCGGGTTAGGGAAAGCCAGTCAGCCGATGTGTCTTTTCTCGATGTGAGCAAGAATAAGAATGAGGAGGTGGGCTGTCCATACAATGTATGAGGCTGGGAAGCCTGCGTACGTAGCCAAAGAAATGCGAAGATATGGCAAAAAGTGCTGGATATCTGCGAGAGCAGATGGAATGGATGTGGATTAACAAAGTTGTCAACTGGAGAGTCAGTAATATACTCCGGTCATCCAGACGGCAACCACGAGCACACCGAGGGAGTGGCTATAATGATGTCAAAAGTGGCAGCCAAAGCCCTAATGCAGTGGGAGGAAATTTCATCTAGGATCATGACAGCAAGATTCAACTCAGAAGGAAGAAAGCTCACAATTATCCAATGCTACACACAATGCTGCAAATAACGCGGAACAAGAAGAGAAGGAAGATTTTTACAGACAAATACAAACAGTAATGGACACCTCTCATGGAGACATCCAAATCCTAATGGGTGATGCGAATGCCAAAATGGGAACTGATAATACAGGAAAAGAACTCACTATGGGTACAGAAGCTCTCGGAGAACTATTCGCAGACTTCTGGGCTTTCAATGATTCCCTAATCGGAGGCAGCGTCTACAAGCACAAGGGCATACACAAAGCAACATACATTTCGCCTGGTGGACACACCAAAAACCAGATAGATTTCATCTCAGTGCCGTTCAAGAAAGTGAAAACAGCCTGCCCGGACGCAAAGTCGGGAAGGGGAGAAGACGTGGGCTCAGATCGTCATCTAATTCAAGCAACCTTCAAGCTAATAGCCTTCAGAACAACTGAAGATAGACTAATATTATAATTTTTTGATTACAGCTTGATTCCACATCGTATTTTTGGTACAAGTATGGAATTATCAGCATGGATATCGGCAGCTCAAATTTCGCAGGCCGACCATATATATGAGCTGTGCGTCGGCAGAGGATCGAACCTCGGACCATGTGCATGGTCGGCGAGAGTCCTAACCAATGCGCAACCGACGCACATATTGACATTCACGAGGATATAATTGCTGCTTACTAATTGCCCTAATTGTTGCTTGTGTAGCAGAGTAAGTACTACAACGGTGGACTTCAATCGCCCTACTTCAAGATGTCCCACGCCTACCATTGTACTTAGATTTTAGATAATTTTTTCTCTGAATATATGGCTTCGGTCACTCAAAGGTATGTGAAGATATGTCGCCGTTCAAGCATCAAAACAACTACTAGATTACGAAATAGTGTGTAATAAGGAGCAACAGAATTTTATAACCTTCCGTTCTTATATGTCTTTTAATATCTGTTATTGATACTAATGTGGAGAAATTGACGGAAATGCTGAAAGCATGAAGTTGTCGTTTATTTATTCGCTTGGTTAACCTTATTTTAAAAGCAATAAATGAACAGAACGATATCAAGTGAAATGTTACAACAAATGAGATGAATAGCCAGTCCTACGAATAGTGTCACCTTAGGTAAATTAAGTGAAAGTCTGAATATTTTCAAAAGCCTTTGAAAGACAAGAAAATAGGTAATTTCCCAAAACGCAGTTCCTATTGATTACTTATATATTGAGAGAAACTGGTTTCACAAATTGTTAGATACAAAGAAATCAATGAGCTGCATGTTAAACAGTATTTTGAAGTCAAATCTTAGTGTATATCACACATTATACGGCACTAACAAGGAAGTTGAACTCAAAAGCTTCAACTTTTACGATATAATGATGAATAATACATCAGGGAACTGATGTTTTCAGACACCATTAAAAAAATTCTCAAATGAATTTAATAAAGAAATGGAAATAATGGAGTCCATAGATGCTGCTACACAGAATTTCCTGAGACACTGAAACAATAACTGCACGTTGCACTAGGTGACATTAATGGTTACGGTAATATAGTGAATCCTAAAGAAATTTCATGTTGTAATTTCTACCGGCTTTGCCTCCAATTTTTTTGTATTTGTATCAAACAATTATGCATAAATCCCAATGCAACCTTAAAAAGTTTTAGCACCGAGAATTATCTTGCTTGGAAAATATGTATTAGTCTGTGTTTACTGGCATCCTTCCTTACACTACTTATATTAAGGGAGTAACAGCACGTCACTAATTCATTACAGCGATGCAGAAAACACTCGATTACTGGATGAAGGAAGACACAAGTTCACTGGGTTTTTACTATGTGAATGTCGTCACTTTAATATAAGAAGTTACTAATTAATAACCATTTTAAAGATTCGCATTCCGCTGTGTTGGAGCAGACTAGGCAAAGGAATACCTCGGAAGATCTCCAAATGCTTTATAGTGATTGTGAAAATTTCTGAGAAAACGTCCATCTTTTTTGTTGCATTTCCTTTGGACTCCCTGTTATTTGTTACATTTATCTATACCAAAAATTTAACTTGGGGTGCTCATACACAACGCATAAGTCGCACAATTATGCAGACACACTAGATTAAGACTATTGGATACAAAATACACATTTACTTCGAAGTAATCTGATATTTACCTGTCACAAATCCTGGGAAAATGTCGTGTTATTGCGTATTGAATAACTAGGAACCAAACAATTCCGAAAGTTCCACCAATAGTGAGTCCGGCAAGAACTTGACTGACGGTGTGATACAGCAAATAAACCCTGGAAGTGAACTGTGCTCTTTCAACACATACCTGCTACAGCAAACAACTGAAGTTAGTGTTATGCACAGTGAAAGAATGAACACTCGTAAATGACGGCTAAATGACTTCTGGTTAAGCCTTTATAATTGACTGGCTGAAATCACTACCTACCTTATATACAGAAAAAGTACAGTGTAAGCACAGAAGAATCCCATAAACTGTGCATGATTTGAAGGCATACCTGATGATTCAATGCTTGGATGAACTGAAATAGAAAGATTGAAAATTAACACACCTGAGGGGAAAGGCCTAGGCTGGTTTATCGATGATTTGAAAATACAGTTGCTAATTTCATTCAGCAAGCACCCAAATAAATAAAATATCTTTAGACCAAAAATGCATTGCAAATGTGTAATTCAAAATACTGTATGTAAATCTCTCCTTGACACAACTAAGGTCATGAGGCTAATCATTATTAATATAGGCACCATGCTGGAGTACGCCAGCAATTTTCCAAACTTATCACCTATAACGTTAGAATTATGACTGCCTTTGATTACCTATCGGATATTCGACATGGAAGAGGCTCAGTGACTTCCACTTAACAGTATCCATATTTGTGTTCAACTACAGTAACTCCCCAAGGAAAATTACCGCGATCTGGGATTTTTAGATTTATTGAATGATAATAGAAGGCTTGAAGCCTATGCTAATCATTTTATAATAAATTTGTGTGTTTCTCCAAAATATCCTTGAGTAAATAAATTGAGTGTGCTGGCACCACTTCCTCCGGGAGTCGGTTCAGGAGTTTATGACACAGCATAACAACCAGTACTCCACATATTAAAAGCTCCTCCTAAGCTTTCAAATTGTCCTGCTATGTTCTCTTAGTTATTTCATCATGGTCGCAGGGAAGGGAACAAGAAAATAGTTCGGGTCCATGGTCATTATTGGATATGTTAAACGTTCTATCGAATCCTCTCTGTCAACTTTATGAGATGGAGGGGACACACAGACCGTTCAGTCTTTCATAGTATGATAAATTGGTAATACCAGGAATCGTAGGTGTTGCCTTCTTTTGAACCCATTCTAGAATTAGCCCCTTTAAGATAAGGACCGGCTGCCTCTTTAATTTTCTAGTTTTGACCTTACTTGAGATGTGTATATAAAAGTGAACCTATCTCCAGATATTCTGGTGGTCGTCCCTAGTATTGTCCAAAAAGATATGAAACTACGAGCTGCCACTACGCGACAGTATGTTATGGCTTTTGAGCCGTGAATTGCTGTGACATGCAGATCCATATTGGTCTGAAGTGATGATAGTATTATTCCCTCTGGCCCATACGATCTAACGTGTGTCCCGTTCGCACGGTTGCGAATTTCGCCGCATTGATTGAGAGCGTCAATTTTCTGGACGACTTCAGAATTTTTAGGGGCATCCTTGTACCATAAGCGTTTAATTATCGCCATTCAACTCCCTCCACAGTTATCTGGAGAGAGGACCGTAGCTGATTCGGCGAGCAAAGGTAACTCATTGGTATGCAAGATAAGAGGGTCCGAGTACGATGCCTTGTGGCAATTCACTATATAATGTCGTCCAACAGAGAACTTTAGGGTTGATCCTGACTCTCTGTTTCCTACCTATAAGGAATACCCTGACCTGGTTTAGGAAGCCGCCCATGGTTCCAATACTCTCCAATTTCATGAACAATCTTGTGTGAGGTGCTTTACCGAAAGCTTTTCTGAAGTACATGAAGTCACCGTAGACAGGTCTTCGGTTGTCCCTTGACTTAGCCCTCTCCTGCTTTGAGAAGGTATTTCAGGTCTGAAAATTTTTCATGGAGGCCGTGGTGTGATCTGGACAACAATTCGTTGTTCCTAGACAAACCGCGATGGCTTTCTTGACTATTATTTCCAGTATTTTAATTATGGTGCTGGTTAAACTGACAGGGATGTAGTTTGAAAGATTGTGCCCTCATCCTTTTCTGTGGACGGGGGTAAATGCGGAATTTCGTGGTCACACCGTAACAACCTTTTCAAGAGAAATAGCTTGCATATCATAGTCTGTAGGCCCGCTATATGAGCCAACAGATGCCTGGATGAAAGTTACTGGGTCCTATTGACTGACCTGGATCTAGTTTCTTTAGAGAACACGATGAGATGTTTTGGCAGGTGTCGATAGAATCTACCGTACATTCTCCTGAAGCAGCGGGAGCTGATGTTATGTGAGGTGGCAACTCTTGCATGTAGACTTTGGAGAAATAGTCTGCCGCTGATTCTGGTTTTTCCTACTCCTTTTACTTTACTTTTTTACTTTTGATTTACAACTTGATTCCACACTGTATTTTTGGTACAAGTATGGAATTTTCAGCATGGATATCGGTAGCCCAAATTTTGCAGGCCGACCATAGATATCAGGTACGCGCCAGCGTGGGTTCGAACCCCGGACCATGTGCATGGTCGGCGAGAGTCCTAACCACTGTGCCACCGAATGTGTCGCTGCTTATAGTTAGGTTTGGGACCTAGTTGGTAATTCCGTCCTTGACGTTCTTGCAGGAAACGTTTTTGGGTTGTGCCTTTCAATTTTGGTCTAAATGCCTTTTGAAACTCAACCTCCACCGACGCATTTCTGCAAAAGAATTGTTCCTGGTGGCGGGGCACACCTCTCTGGTCCCAGAAGTTTAAAGTGTGGTGAACTGGTGCCAGGTTTTAAGCTTCCGTCTGAGCAGTCTGTGAATCTCTTGGTTTATTCATGTGACTCAATAACTTCGACACTTTGTGACGGATTGAGGAATGAAGGGTTGGGTTTCTTGGGCGTAAATTTGCTTGAATCAGGTTGGCGCAGCTTCCATATGAGATTCTAGAATTTTGTGCCGGCCCGTGATTGAGCGGCGGAGGCGAAAATGTTTATATCGGCCTCCCAGAGTCTTGATCGAGCTGAGGTTTTTGCCCATTACACTACTGCGTTGAGAAACTTGAAAGTGAGCACAGCGCGATCAGTTCTTCTTAAGGATATAACATGTAATGTGGTAGGAGTCCTGTGAATCATAATGCGTAGGATTCGTGACATACTGTACTTGAGTTAGTAAAACGGTAGATTGAGACAGTTCACGGGCAAATAAGTTGCCTGAAGATGCCCTTTTTCAGGCTCGTCCACTTAACGTATCTGTTTCAGGGTGGAAAATCCAAAGTCGCTAGTGAACTTATAGATCTAGCCTCACCCACAACGCAAGTGGATAGTGGACAGCCACTACCAAAGACAGATGGTAAAGAGGATGACAGTGAATGCAATAATATAGCAACTCACAAAAAGTGAGATAAAGCTGCCATAAAATGTATAATATGCATGAGTTCAGGAAGACACCAATCATTAAGAGCAAAGTCATTCTTAGCAAAAAAGAACTCAAAAGCAGGTTGACACTTCTCAATAAGATGGAAAAATTAAATGGCTTCAGATCCCATGACTAAGCATGAGTATCAAACTGAAAAAGTTAAAGCAATCGTACATAAGCTACTTCAAATAACAATGATTGCACTGAAAAGATAGGCCTAAAACAACGACATTAACAAAGGTAAATTCACTTCAGATCTGGCAAAAATATAGGGGACACCACATGAAATCACTGAAGAAACCCGGGTTGAAGAACACTGGAACTCTGCGAAGTGCTCAAGAAAACATGTACAACTGCTTTAAGACGAAAGAGGACGCAACACAAGGAGTTTCCCCTGAACGGACACTTACATCCCAGGCAGGCAAAGAGAGGAGGATAGTGGGACAAAACTTGGACCAATGCAGAGATACACAAGATACACAGGCGAAACCTGTAAAGGTGGTCAAGGGAACCTAATTATCAAGGAGGAGAGACTAATCAAACAATGGGATGATCACTTAAAAGGACTCTTGAATCGACCATCACCTTCAACTCGTCCAGAAGTTCCATCAAAACGTCGCACATAACTGCCTGCCAGTGGACTCCAACGAAAGCAGAAATCTCGAATGTAACCAAGTTACTGAAGCCTAGAAAGGCAGCAGCAGATGGAATCCCCTTTTTCAAGAATTGAAAACAGATCCAGAGACTACAGCAGATATGTTGACTCCATTGTTGCGAAACGTTTGCAAGCAGGCAAATGTGCCTACTTATTGGAAGAAAGATCATCTTGTCAAACTACCGAAGGAGGATGACTGAAGCTTACACAGGAACTGATGAAGAATAATTCTCTTGTCCACAACATATAAGATACTAAGTCGACTCATCCTTGAGAGAATAATGGATACACTGGATGCAGGACTCCACCCGGAACGAGCTGGATTCAGGAGAGGTAAAACATGTGCTGATCAAATCGCAACTCAGCACATCATCATCGAACAGAGCGTAGAATGGCAGTCACACCTCTACCTCAATTTCATCGACTTTGAAAATGCCTTCGATGACACAGTGTTGGCCTCAAAGTAATTTGCAAACTCTCGCAACACTATGGAGTCCCCCAAATACTTATCAACCTCATCCAACAGCTATATGACAATGCCATGCGTCAGGCGATCCACGACGGAAAGCTCAGCGAGGGGTTCAAAGTGAATGCAGGAGTAGGACAAGGCTAGCTGTTTATTATCACTAGGGATATTCCTAATTGTGGTGGACGGAATTATGCGTCAGACTGTGAGTGATGAGGAAACAGGAATACTTTGAACCACCTATAAGAAGGCTCTAGAGGACCTGGATTTCGTACTGTCAATGTAGTTGAAGATTGAACGATCAATTCATGACTGTTTGCTCAAAACCAACTCCTCCATAATTTTCGCGGGAATCAACAATCAAGCAGTTATCGTCTCATCGTTCGTTGTTCAGTGGAAGATAAAAAACTACCAGAAATCTTGTGTGTAATAACCTTATTGTTGGTTACATATTGGCGTAAGAATAAAGGATTCTCGAGTCGCCAATCAGTGTTCTGGGCTTTTGCTTTGGTCAATACAAATAGTTTCTGAAAGTCTTCGAGGGACAGCGTGAGGTCCAGCGTAGTAAGAGCTGGACATTGACAGTGTATGAGAGTTGGCTGACAACGAATCCAAATAATCTTCTGGCTTTAGAAACTTGGTTGGTAGCATAAAGAACTTAGATCAGTAGAGTAACGTTGCCCGAGGTCAAGTACAGAAGGAAAGATGGTCATTAACTTGTCATATATAGTTATGTGTGGTGCGATGCGAAGACGACCTGAGCATAACAGACCACACTTCTCCACGTTGACCTGCGTCATCCAAGTCCCAATATTATCAATATCCGATTGAATTTTATGGGACAGTTTTGTCACTTCTTGGGTGGTACTGTGGTAGACCACCTTCAAGTCATCAGCATACAAGAAGGGTCTGATACGCTTTGTAACACCACAGGCGTCATTTAGGTATATAAGGAAGAATAGAGGTCCTAGTAAACTACCATGAATTACGCCAGTTGATATAGGAGTGGTGGTGGAAAAAGTGCCGTTAATCTCAACAGACGGGAACCGACCACATATAGATGAGTTACAACATTGTAAGAGACTGTCAGATATACCGTAAGCCTTAAGTTTTTTCAGGAGTAAATTATGACATACTTCATCGAATGCCTTCTTAAGATCAA